GAACAGTTAGAGACTGTTCCTAAAGAGGAGAAGGCAGAGAGAGAATTGCGAAGATCATCTCTCGATAAGCATAAAAAAGAGAAACCTTTTAAAACTGGGAGAGGCAGGATTTCTACTCCTGAAAGGAAAATAGCTAAAAAGGAACCTAGCACACTCTCCAGAGATGAAGTGAGAAGGAAAAAAGGTTCATTTAACACTCCCTATTACAATATATGCTTTTTTGTTTTTGTTTTTGTTTTACTGTTGTACAGTACTATCCGGTTACTCTGTTGTAGATGATGTGCACCTTAACAGTATTAACGGTAGTGCTTTTTAATGAGATGTTGTACAACTATATGAAAAGCCATGTGCAAGGCCCACTGCTCCACCGGTCCCGTTTTGCTGTAGGCTTCCCCACTGATCACTGGGTAGCATATCTGAGGTTAATGCGCCAGTGCTCCCCCTCTTCTGACTTAGGATTTGTTCACCCCAGTAGAAGCGACGCATCGGGTTGGAGTTGTGGAGCAGTGGGCCTGCCACTTGATGTATTGTCATATGAAACTGTTTGCTGGTTTTTTCCTGATTCTATGTTTTTGTGTTTTCTTGTCCATAGCAGTGTATAAGAAAGCTGAACTTGCTAAAAAAACTGAAGTTCAGGCCCACTCTCCCTCCAGGAAAATCATTTTAAAACCTGCTATCAAATATACTAGACCAACTCATCTCTCCTGTGTTAAACGGAAGCAGACAGGTGACTGCGTTCTGTTCAGTTATGCAATGTGGCTGGCAAACATAGACATTTTTTTTTTTTTGTAAATCTCATGGCTATAGCAGCTTCTCTATTTTTTTATTTTTTCCTCCAAGAATATCAGTCTTCACAAATAGTATTGCTTTTTTAGTGTTTTGTATCATTTTTCTTTTCTTCTTTCATTCCTGGTATTTGTTTGTTTATTTAATGGAGGCCATGATCATGTATGCGTGTCATTGCTTGGCCCTCCAAGTGCTGTGGTTGTAATTTGGCATCGTGCTTATAGTGTGGTGTTGTAGGAATCTCTACTCATCATTTTGTTCTTTTTTCTTTTTTTTTAAAAATTATGCTTTTTTGGTTTTTGCTGGTGGGAAAATGTTGACAGCTTAAACCATGGTATGCATTTCCATTATTTTGCTTTTTTACTCTCATGCATAATAAGAAGTGTTTCAGACTTATATTTTGTTGATTGATGTTATCTGCATTGACACTTCCCAATCTGTCACTGATGTTTATGCTGTACAGTCAAAATCCACAGGGGGAATCCAGCCACATGCAGCATGAAGCTGAGAGAGAAGAAATCTGGGCTCACACTACGAATGCATTCCAAGCAAAAATCTTAATATTTGGTAGAGGAAGATGAAAGGACGAAACAAATGATTCCTGTTACATCTTGATAGGTGTATCATTATTTAGAGGACCAAAAATAACACTTTCAGCATTTTCATCGTATTACTTCTTGTTATTGTGAGTTCAGGGTGGAAAGATGAACATCTTGACTTTTCTAGTGATCTAAAAAAAAAAAAAATTGCTAAAAGAGGCTGGGTTTTCTGTAATGTAACATAGCCGCATGCTGTAGTGCGGTTGTTCATGAGTGAAACTAGGGCTACTAAGAGAAGAACCATGCACAGCAGCGCAGAACTACGTAGGCCTTGTCTCATGGCTTAGAAATTAAGAACAGGATTTATTACCTATCCTACAGGTAAACAGTGCAATACCAAAAGTGTTCCTAAGAAGTTGCTCCCATCCAGTTTTGCATCAATGAGTCACTCCTGTTCTAAATTTAGACCAGTCTCAGTATGGAGGTCTGACTAGCGAAAATACAGTAAAAGGATAGTTATGCGAGGGTAGCTTTAATATCATGCCTTAACTGTATGAAGTGTGTATTATCTCCTGGTTGTGTTCCATTAGGACAACAGCACTAAATACTTGGTCCCATCGCCTTGCTCCTGTCAGGGAATCTGGCGTGTTTACTCCCCCCTTCCACAAGAAATGAAGCCAGGGAAGAAAAGGCTGATCCAGGCCCCTCTGTGTTGCAGTGATGGCTCCTCCTCAGTTTGCAGTCTCTAGGCTGTCCTAACTTGCATTCTGGACAAGAACTACCCCAAAGTGAGGAATTTTAAAAAAGGATTAAAACAACTCTTCTTGCTACCTCTTGCTGTTTGCTGAAGCACAGCTTGATCAGCTCAGGAGTTACGACCCATAATTCACGTATTCTTTCAAAAGACCCAGGGGGTTCAATCAGCAGTGGAAATGAGGGGGGTTAGGTGTCGGCTTTGTAGTGTTCTCAACTTCATCTACACTCCTACAGCCATGTGGTCAGTGCTGTCTTGCCCTCAGATACTCTACCACTAACTCCTCTGAACTCTTCTGGCCCAGTAGCGTCCTGGAGAGGCCTGAGTCATACCAGTAGACTCTTATAAGGAAATCTGCCCAGTGCCTTAAATGTGTGCTGCCTGACAACTGACAGAGCTTTTTCTCACTCTAGCACCTAGTGAAGCAGATATATTAGTCAAAGTGAAAAATGTAATACAAAATGTAATACACCCACTACATTTAAATCCTGAGATGGAGAGCAACCAAAATAATGGACCCAGATTGATCATAAAATTTGCAGTAATGTGGGTTGAACTTTGAGGTTTGGGCTCTACAGCAGAGTAGCTTAAACCACACCACGAAGTGAACAAAAATATCTCCTAGAATGTTTCACCATGCTCAGCGTTGCTGGAAAGTTCACAATGTCCCTTATTTTCTTCTACCTCACCTTTTTATACTTACCAATGGGACCTGGGGGGAGGCCACGTGAAAGGATATCACATAGCAAGGCACTCTAAGAGTGTAGGCAGTCCTATGTTAATCTACATATCTCTAAGCCTGAACCAGTCATCCAGCTCTTTCCAGGATTTGGAATTTAGAGGGACATTTTCTCTCTCACCTTTTTCCTTTTACATAAAATATAGCACCATCTCTTGAAGCCAGTTTTGACTGTCAGTGTGTCCTATTTGGAACGGTCTTGTCAGCTTTAGTGATACCTGGCCAATGGAGCCCCACCAAAAGTCCCTCGGCAGTGTTGTCTATACAACTGAGTGTATTGCAGTCAGTTAAAACCTCCGTGCTGCATTTACTGTGACTTTAAAATGAAACACGTCTAGTCATAAGTGTCTACAAAAAAAAGTTAATATTTGCTCATATTTTCTGCATAGTGACTCAGGAAATGACATCTTTCCCCTATTTTCCCTTGAATACTAGAAAAAACCTTCCATGTCACTGTGAGGTGAGCACTGGCAAATACACAGTGCCATATCCATAAGGGTGGGACTGCTTTTTAAGAGACTCATCCTTGCCATTTGAAAAAGAAACTGCACGGCCAATTCCGAGGAAAGAGTTGTGAAGTATTTGCCTTGACTGATGTAGTTCGTGAGTGAAACCTCAATCCAAGTCATGTTTTGTTAGTGGCTGTGAGACGTCGCTGCCATTGTGCCATCAGAGGAGCGTTTATGTGGCAAGGCCGGGACAATTACCTGGCTATGAGCGGAAGTCACTATGTGATACGCTTCTGTTCCTTATCTTCAGTTCTGGGGTCACTCCCAAGGTGAAACATGTTTGTTGTGTATTTAATCTGGCAGCAGAGCCTGTAGAGATCTTTTGTTCAGATGGAGAAGTTGTGGTACTTTCAGGTAAGTCAGCGCAAGCAGCACAGCTATTCTTTCCACTTCATAGTGGTGGCTGGTTAAGGTTCAATACCAAGGGAAGGAGGAAAGAAGCTATTTGTGATTAGTTAGAAGAGATGCAAACCAGACCAAAACCAGCAGTAACAGATGTGGTAAAATGTGATGCAGGAGGGCTGTGCTGTACTTATCCCTATTACAAATTGAGCAGAACTGAAGTACGCAGTTATATATATATATTCTTTTCCTCCTCACAAGTTTTTTCTCCTATTCCTTCAATTTAAAAAAAAAAAAAAACAGCAATGAAATTATATTAAGAGGGTAGAACCGAGTGGGAAGTGTGGTAGAAAACCAGAGATCTCCTCACCATGCCTGGGATCTGCACAGGGAAAGGAGAAAACTAATCGGTTCTGTCCTGTACCGTGCGTTAGCGTTGGTTTTACAGTTGGCAGACAGTTGGGTTTACAGCAAAAGGTTGTCATCTGTGACCACTGTCCTGCTTCTGCATTTACTAAGGGCATCCTAGCACAGATGCCAAAAGATTTCACATCTAGTTTTTGTGTGGCAAAACACTTCCTGAAAAACAGTGTTTGGGTGAAACTAATAACCTGCTTTCCAAAAAGCTGCTCCATTCCAAAACTTTTTGTAAGGATGGAATCTAAGTCAGAGAGAAAAATCTTACCTCAGATCACATTGTATCAGATAAATGAAATACTGAATTAACATACTTGATGTCCCAGATACAAGTTGAGTTGCTAAAGTCTGAGGGCTTAGTTGACCCATGGCACACTGACGTTGTTGACACAACTAGGATGATAATTCAACAATGAATCTCTTGCTTTCCGTTAGCTTTCCATTAGGAATGGTGGCTAATATTTTGAAAAGTGGTGATTTCAGGGGCCTCTCAAAATTTTCATTTGTGGATTACTTAAAGGAGCCTGATTTTTAGAGGACAGTCCTGAAAATCAGGATGTTAAGGTGTCTGAGGATTGACCTTCAGAACTAGAGGCTCTTATAGTTGTCAGCTATTTCTTCAACTTTTTACTGTAGTTTCTAGACTTCTAGGAACATGAATACAAAATTTCTTTTTTTTTTTTTTTTTTTTTTTTTTTTTTTAAATGTGCAGAATACCATTTTACCTCAAGTGTGATGAATATAGGACATTTTTAAGGCAGGTACATTTCTGCATAGAGTTCACTGAGAGTAATTCACAAAGTAATTGCTTTGCACAGTAGTTCCAAGGCGTTTAATTGTTCTAACAAGTGTACTAAGTGGAAATGCTTATTATTTTTGTTTTTAACTATCAGGTCTTTCTTTGGGTCTCTCAGCAGCAGGTGGTGAAACAAACCAGGCTCCTGGTGTATTTAAACAAGCAAAGGAAAAACTCTCAGTGAGTAAAATCATCTTATCGTTCATCTTTATAATATTATTTCAGATCTTTTTGTGTTAATTCCGTAAGTGATTGTGTGTTCCATTTAAAATTTGTTTGCCATGTTCATTATTCATTTAAAAGGGTAATTAAAACCACCTTTCCTGAATAACCTCTGAATTACAGTCCCAGGTAGTAGATGATGACGGTTTGCAGATCCACAGGGGGCACACAGACTCCAGACTGCAGGAGTTGGATGCATTTTGAGCCAGGTCATCCTCTGGGATAAACTGTGTACCTTGGCCCTTTCTGCAGCACTTGACTCGTACTGACACCTTGCTCGATTGCTATGCAGGCAGAAACCCTCCCCCAGGACTCACTGGATGTCTTCTGATGCACCATTATATAGCCATGCATTCTGCAGAGGTCATGCCTGTGTAGAAATTATTGGCCAGTACCATTTTATATATGATTAAGTGCTTTCTGAATGGCCATTTCCTGGCCCGCTGATTTCTGTCTGTGTTTTAACCTGACAGTTATGTGCCCTGCCTTCAGCTGCTCTGCAGCCTGTTCTGCTCCCTGCGTCCGGCTCTCCTCTGCTGAGTTTCCTTCAGCAAATACTGCAGTGCCTCTCCACCCTGCTCCCATCCTGAAAAACGCTCTTCCTGTCCCACCACTCAAAAATCCCCAGGAAACCAACCTCCTTTCACTGTCCTCTATGCAACCTTTTTTTACGTGACACTGACACATGCTAATTCACATCTGCAGCATGACAATTCTTTGTCATTTTTAGCCATCATTGACAATGAAGAAGTTCCTTAGGATTCCTCTAAATTTCGTAATACGTTCCATGGCTGATTTGTTTCTTCTGTCTAACCAGATCATCAGTTCTTTGGCGAACAAAAATCTCTGTCTCATAAAGTGCTGCACATTATTTATGAATTGTAAGAAATTGTTAATGATGATAGCAGCATAATTGATTGGAGGCTTTGGAGGAGCTGTGAAATTTAGACCTGAATTCAGCTGTAAATTCTGGGATTTCATGTGGTTTTTCAGGTCTCTGACCCATTTCAGCTCAAAACTGGGAAACTGGTAGAGCTTCTTTGCTAGTACATTAAGAAATATCTGGACAGGTTTCTGGTCTGAGTCAACAATATGGTTTATTACTGTCTTTTCTTGGGGGTAATCAACACTTACACAAAAGAAGTCAATACTAGTCCATTTTCAGAGTCATCTGTGTTCATGGAGTGCTCTAAGTACAAGCACTGCAACATCATTCTCTGAAATTATCTGCTTTCTATACACCTTTCTTATTCCTGTCCCTTACGTTATGGCAAAGATGAGAAGTCTGTCCCCTGCTTACTTCCTCTCCCTGTTGCCTCACTTCTCTGTTTGCCACACTCACGCATCTCTTGGACATTTTCTCTTCTGTGCCTTGGCTTCACCTCTTCACCTCCATAAAGAGATTTCCCTTTCTGTTGTGTTTCTTCTTGATTTTCAGCTTTTATGTCCTTCAAGTGCACCCTTTTCCTCTCTACTGATAATGTTAGATCATCCAACCCGGTCAGTTTTGTTATCCATCTTCAAACTACAGTTTACATACTGCTTTGCAGAACAAGTTCAGGAAAGGCTAAGCAGTTCCATCTGCTGGAAGGAGCTGTGTACCTGTGGTAGCGAGATGCTGAGAACATCGGTCATGTGTTAGGAACACCTCTGAAATAAAGTGAGGTTTCTGCATCCCAACTTCAGCAATCCCTGAGTCTTATTCAGGGTTACATAGATCTTTGTCCTGTGGACAGCTGGTACTTCGAGCAACATGAATTATAACAGAGGTCAAAGGTAATGTATTGCTATCAGAGAATAAGAATAGTTTTCTGGCTAAAGCACAGGCAGGGACTGAGGCCTTTGGTTTCTTTGTTTGCTCTACCAGCCTTGAGCATGTCACTGAAATCTGGTTCGGCCAGATTCTGCTGCTGTTACTGATGCTAAAAAGTGCCTTGCTCCCTAAATAACACTGAGGGGATCTAGACTGTGATAATCTCAGAGCAGTGCATTAGCTCAAGGTCATGCCTTTTCCCCAGCTATTCCATTGAAAGATCTCAGTCTTGTCCATCTTTAGCGTCCCCATTAGATGCACACATTCATGGAGGACACTGTATGCAATATGAGTGAAAAGGACAAGGTCTCTACCTTGTGCCTAGATTCTTAATCTGTAAGAGTCTTCCAGTCTCGTTACGGGAACCATTTTGCATGACCCACAGGTTGAGAAAGGCAAAAACCATTGAATGAACATTTGGGCCTCAAACTGTGTGTGCTTAGTTATATCTCAAGTTCAGAAAACCAGGTGAAAGGCATTTGCAGAATGTCTGCTTTTTGGAGCCACCCAGCACAGATACCCTGCTTCCACAGAGTTTCAGCATCAATAAACAGCTTCGTGGATTTGTAAATATGGCCCAGAGTTTCACAAGTGGATGGGACCGATAAGTTGAACTATGACAAATCAGTCAAAGTCTGGAGAAGCCTTTGATGCTGTTCAGTTTCTGTTTAAAATAATTATTCACTGATTTTATTCTGTGTATTGTCAGACAGTGAAATAAGTATTAAAAGAAAGAGACGTTAATATGTTGCAAAACTCATTCTAGGAATATATTCTTGGTAGTAAAGCACTTCCATCCTTTGAATAATTTCTTGTCTTGCTCAGCAGAGCTACTTGATATGGATGATGATATCCAATAGAAGTCTTCTCAGCTGTTTTGTAGGACTGGAATTGTTTGTTACACAGTTCTGTAACTCTTAATCGTGTTGATGATGTCATGGATGACATTCAGCACACCAGCCTCAGTTTTCTGTAGGCTGGGTATGTAGCCTAAGCCAGATGCCTGTCAGTAGAGAGTTGACAACCCGTTCTTTTCTCATTTTCTAACAAAGATAACTTAAGGAGTAACTCGGACACCTTTTCTGAACATTAAGAGAGTCTAGGTGACTGACTTAGATCAAATGCCAAATTTTTCATGGCTAAAATTCTGTACCAAATCCCATAATTACAGGCCCATTGGGATTGGTCCTGTGTGTAACTTCATGCTTGTATGAATACAGAGAGAATGAGGACTACATTGCCAAGATAACAGCCTTGCAGTTGTTCTTTGTAGTGTCAGTTATACCCGTGGGAGAAAAAAAAGTGTTGCTTAAGCAAGTAGCCCTATTCTCTTTCAAGGAAATTCCTTTTTGCAAAGCAGTTGGGTGCTCCTAAGTGTCAACAAAGAATTTTTAATCTGTCCTATTGATGTTTAATTGTTCTTTCAATGGGATATTATCATTATTCAGAATCAGACAAGTATCTGATCACAATGACATATCAGGTCAGCCTTTCAACCATATATGGGTTTCCTCATCCCAGGACTCCACATTGTCACTCTACAGAGTGAACACCAAACGCACAGAATACGGTGATTGGGATGCATTAGGGATTTTGTGTGTACACAGTGGCACAAGAAGCAATACTGTCATGTTGTTCTGCCATCGTGGGAATACTGGTGTAACTTTGCTTTTACGATTCTCACTGTTTTATTCTTGGGATAAGAGGTATATATTTCAAACGCACAACTTAGTTTTAATGGACTAGGATCTCTTGGTGCTGCTGTAGTTTTGCACTTGCTTCTAATGCAGCCAGCCAGCAGTTGTACCAGTTAAATGCCATACCTGGCACCACTTTTGTCCTAATTAACACAAGACAAAAATAGCATCTGCAGAAAAAGGCACTTCCTAGAATCAGTAACTCTGTCCAAACCCGGATGGTTTTAATCAAACAACACAGAACTAAAACTTTCATGCATGTCAGAACTGCATAGACACCATTACCAGACACAGGAAAAGTATTAATTCATAGCTTGGCTTTTTTTTTTGGTCCATGTTGCATGTGTTTTCCTTTTGTCCAGCTTCATGTTGTGTTTTCTTCTGTTTGTTTTCTCATGACTAGACTGCCTTTTTGTCAAAGATTCCTGCCTCAAAGTCTAGAGCAAAGTCATTCCTTCCTCCAAGACCCAGCTCAGCTTGCTCATTAACTACTAAAAGGGCCACTTTTCTCGATACAGACAGTTATTATGTACGGCCTTCCTCAGCAGGCCCAAGAGACTGCTTGCCCTACTCAAAATCAGATGCTAAGGTAAGGTAGCAGAGTTGGTAGAGAGAGCTAGCTTGGAGATGTGTACATGAATTCCATGGATCACATTCTCTCCCCACTGAATTTGAGTAATTCTCTGTGAAGCTTATGTGGGATTACTTACATCCAGTGGCAGGAAAACTGATTATCAGGCTACAAGATTTGTGCTACAAAATGGATAAAACTAAAGGAGATTCTCCAGAGGAAACATAAGTGAAATAAGTTATAACTAGAAGGACATATTTTCTTTCTATTGGTGATATGGATGCTGCTTCATTGACTGCTAAGAAGTTGCACCCATTTGCACGTGGGTAAGTGGCAAAGAACAGCGGTACTGATTTGCCTTCCAAGTTTAAAAAATGTAATTTTAAACCACTTAATATTCTCTGAAAACAAATTCAGTCCCCAGTGTAGGAGGGTACAGTTCTAATCACCAGCAAGAAGGGTGGAAGCCAAATGCTCTAGGAACCTAATTTGGTCTATGCATGGGACCATGTTGAAGAAGTTGCAGTATAAATTTAAAGAGATGTTTGGCAGTCCATCCTAGCTTCCCCATGTTTACATTTCACTTGTGTTTCAAATCTACTTGATGTTGAGTTCATGCCTATCCCCATTTAAAAACTGTTTTCACTATTAACTTCCATTTTCTGTGTAACACTGTGTTTGGTGTGTCTTTTACTGGTTGGGACCATCATCATATTTGCCTTTGGGAGGACTATCTGCTTATGCAAGACTGTCTTTGGCTGCCCATCCCATAAGTTCAAAAATATTCTAACATACATGTCCATTGCTCTAACCCTGGTAACAAGAAGGTGTCTGCTGATTTCAAAAAGTAAAAAAATGAGTATGGAAGGAAATAAGAGAAGACATCAGGATTAATAGTCCTACACTCACAAAATAAGCTGTAGCTAAAAATTTTTCTCCATAAAAAAAATTACAGGTTAGTGTTTGAAAATGCAAAAATCACCCATCACCTAACAATATAGCGTGGGGTGTATTCTGGGCACCAGTACTGCAGTTACTTTGCAGGTAAATTTACATAAGAATTTTACACCTGAGCTCCAGAGATTTTTTCTTTACTTTCAGCTTGCACTAAAAAACCCTTGTTCCTTATTAAGAACCAAATGTGGAATCTGTCCATATTTAGATCCAAGAGTATCTCTATGTGTCTTAAGTAGCTCAGAAAGATGACTGTCGGGTGTTTTGATGCAGTAAAGAGGTGGCTGGATCCCCACAGCTTCCTGTGTGAGTAGTAAACTGGGCCCATAGGATGAAGTTTCCCCCTCTATATATAGGTTGGGAGAAAGCACAGCCCAGAAAGTGAGTTTTGAAAACTAAACCTTCCTTTTTTATTTTGCTACTATTAGGATGGAGTAAGCAAGAGTCCCGAAAAGCGTTCCTCTCTACCAAGACCTTCCTCTATCCTTCCTCCTCGAAGAGGTGTATCAGGAGACCGAGACAGAGAGGAGAACTCTCTCTCTCTCACAGCTTCACTTTCCTCTTCAGTACGACGGACCACCCGTATGTTTTTTGCATATTAACCTTCTCCTACTGCTGTGAATGTCTCCCATCCTTGTTAGATTTGTCACATTGCCATAGCATCGTGTGTCCCTACCTTTTACACAGAGGGGTGGGTCTGGGGTATGCTGTTGGAAATCAGAGCTCCACAGACTGTTTCTGTTCAGATACTAAGTGCTGAGCAGCAAGGGCTTGAAAGCAGGGACAGGATGCACCCTTTCCATAGTCTGCAATGCCCAGAGCTAGGACTGCTGTTCAGACTAATCACTAATGTTACAAAATGCCTTTGCAGGGAGCTCAGAGCTGGGTAAAGTATTTAACACAGGGCATTTCCAAACAGCGGCAAGAAAAATGAGACAAACCTGAAGTAGGCAATATAAAATATTCTGATGGATCTTGGAAAAGTCAACCTAATATTATAGTTATTAACTTGCTGTTTCACAGTAATGATCTCCTGGTGCTCTAATCCTAGGGTAAAAACTCTGCTGAGAATTGAGATGTTAGCTAGTGGAGTGACTCATTGGGGGAAGTTAGGATAGTAAACCAGCAAGGTCCTTTTATGAGGACCAATGTTATCAAATCACAAGCCAAAAGAAATTACAGGACAAAGAGAATTTTACTGAATACCCCCAGAACTTTTAGATAGATTTGCATTCAGCCCAGGCCTCAGAACCTGGACGTGGCTCCCTGCTTTCCAATAGGAATTCCTCTAGTTTCTCTCTTTAGAAACCAATCTCGGCCCCTTTTAAGACAGCCTAAGGGAAGCAGATGATTAAATTCTACAAAAAAAGTCCTTTAAAATTCTTGGGTGATGCTCCAAGGGTAAAACAGAGACCCTTTGTAAGCAGAGTGGCCCCCAGCTGGCACAGCAGCCCATTCTGCTGGCTAGGAGTGAGAGGCCATTGAGCATTTGCCAATGTGGTGAAGGGCTGAGGAATGAAAAATAAATATACCAAAGCTGCAGGGAGCTGGGGAAAAAAAAAAAAAATCATTCCCTTTCTGCCTCAGTTGGTATAGTGAGAAGGTTCTGGTTTAGGGTTGGTTTGGAAAGAAAGAAACCATTCAGGGAAACTGCAGGTGAGAGTGGAGTATGTTCAGTCTAATGAGTCACGTAGAGCAAAGAGTTCCTCCTGGACCCCAGGGGCAGCACTGCGTTGCATTTGGTCCACCACCATTAAACAAACAGATTGATTAACAAATAGTTTAAATAAGATTTTGATTAGTCTCACTGGATGCTCTAGAGAGGCTCATTGGATTTTATAATTCCTGGGCGTTTCAAAGGTGAAAAGATGTATGCAGCCATTTGGCATTGGGGTTCTCAGGCTTTGGGGGTTGGTTTGGTCTCTCCCTGAGCATTCTCAGCAAAGCTTCGCTTTAAGCAGCATATGGAGATATCTTGGCTTCTGTTCATTTGTGTTTGAGAGTTACCAGCAGAGCTGGCTGCAGAAAGCACAATACCACTACTAAACTGATTCTTGTGCTCAGTGAAAAGGACTGGCAATGCCATAAACACTGAATGGAGCTGCTACAACATGTTACAGTATTTATTTATTTTTAACTTGCATGCAGATGTAACTAGAATGTGACTTCTAATCAAGGTTTCCTTCTGTAATTTCTTTCTTTCACTGCACTAATGAAAAGTAGCAATTGAACGTGAGGGACATCTGCCCACCCACAGAATACAGCTATGACTTGTTCATCAGCTGCATGTTCACCCAGGGTTCAGCTGCAGACACCAGATTACCAGCAGCAGCCAGGCACTCAGATTCTTTAGTTTCAGGATTACAATCAGAATTTTCCCCACTCTCTAGTTTAATGCCCAGATCCATTTAAATTGGTGACAACATTCTTACTGGCTAGTCAGGTTGTCAGATCAAGTCCCAAAGGTTAGATGCCAAGGGTGCTTCTAGTCCTTTCCCCACGACAGAAATCGATGTGATATTGTGCCTTGTTTAGCAAGCTTTGCAGGAAGCGCAGGTGTTGTGGGAAGCACACCTGCATTAGAGAGCAGAGAGCTCAGTCACCACATGGGCAATTTACCAGCTCGGCCACATGTGACAAGGTAACTCCTGGCAGGCTGATTAGCAAAATAAGACACAGAGACAGACATCCAGCTAGTCCAGCACTAGCACAGCCATCTTAGAGCTGTATCTCGCTTGGCACACAGGGACGCAGTCTTGGAAGGTATAGAGGGAAGAAGAGCTCTATTTCTGTGGGTCTAATGCTGGGTTTTTTTTCTTGCATATAGGATCAGAGCCAATTCGTAGCAGAACAGGAAAAAGTGGAACTTCTACCCCCACTACTCCTGGCTCCACTGCCATCACTCCAGGGACACCACCAAGCTACGCCTCCCGTACCCCAGGCACTCCAGGGACACCCAGCTACTCCAGAACACCACACACTCCTGGGACCCCCAAATCTGCCATACTGGTACCTACTGAGAAAAAAGTTGCCATAATTCGCACACCTCCTAAATCTCCAGCCACTCCGAAGCAGCTACGCGTTATTAATCAGCCTCTACCTGACCTCAAGAACGTCAGGTCCAAAATTGGATCAACAGATAACATCAAATACCAGCCCAAAGGGGGGCAGGTAAGGATTCTGCTCTTTATGTTCATCCATATGTGATTTAGTCTTATGTGAGCACCTTTAGGATAGATATGGAATGGGAGCCATTTTGAGTTGCCTTGCAAATGCTGCTTCTATTGTCCATATACATTGGTTGTTTAAGTAATGTTAAATGGCAGGGTCAGGACAATCTTCAGAAAAGTATTTTGTCACGTGAAAATTAATAGTGCCTTACTGAGATCTGGTGAAAAATTTGAAACAAGAGTTTGCTCTCCATGTCATAGGTATGTTTCAGCCTGAGTCTCAGAAGTTGCTGCTTACTTAGTCTTCATCAATACCAGCAAATGAAAGAGATGTGTTTTAATTCAAGCAAGTTCAAATTCAACCTAGATAGATGTTAGCAGGATTGCACAGCACCGTGACCTTTTCCTATGTCATTTTATGTGATGTGCATTGTGTTAGGTGATGTTAGTGAGGGTTGCAGCCTCCAACCTGGTAAATCCACCCCAAGTTAAAGATGATGGGAGGGGACAGGTATTAGACTTAACTGTTTTTCCTGCTGCAGGGTTTGAATAAGCAGGAACAGGGCTTAAATTGTATAAAGAATGGAGAATGTAGATAAAATAAGAAAAAGTGAGTGTGTAAGAAGGCAGACCAGGATTGTTCTCACTTTCTGAAAGAACAAGAATTCACGGACATGTCGATGCAATTAAAAGCTGAAAAAAAAGAAATTGTTTCATAGCTTGCAGTGTTATGCAATGAAGTTCATTGTCATGAGGATGTCTGTACTTTCCTCTGAAGAGTCTCTGCTTGATGCCTTACCAAGCAGAGCTATGGCCAGAGCTGGAATAGTCTCTCATTTTGGGCAATGCAGAAATGGTAACACAGATGGCATTAAAAGCCAAAATTATGTCCAAGCAATTTTTTTGTGTTTCTATTTGGAAGAACTGTTGTTTTAGCTTACAGGATTAAGCGGTCCCTTTTATTAATGTTTAAAGAGTTATAAAAGCATTTATAACCTGAAAGAAATCCTATTTTATTTAGAAACAAAGAAGCTGAATGAAGAAAAAGAATACAGCTTACCAATATTTATGCTAAAAATATGGACAACTCAGTCATGTGGGTGTAAACAGTTACATTGATTTATTTTTTGTAAAAAGTACCTGTGCATTTCATATTGATTCTGGACGCAACCCCGTGATGAAAACACTCAGTGCCCCCAGCTCCCTTTTGCTTCCTTGAGATTGCTGAGTTACAGCCATGGCAGTGTGCGTGCTTTATGAAAGGTTCACTTCTCAACTACCTCCAGGGACGGGACATCAGGGTGAATAACATGCTCCCCCATTCAGCTGTCCTGAAAACAAGACATTCCAGAAAGCTGGGTTGCGCAGTGTTTCCAGATCAGATACTTCTATATATATAGCTGAGTTTTGGAATACAGAGTGGAACATACGTAACAGTGAGGTTTGCCGAATGCTGTCTCAGAAAAAAATAAGTTGGATCAAAACTTAACATTGCAACCCTATGCCTAATGCAGGTCTTCCAGAGAAATAACACAGGCTTATATATTAAGCAGAAAGGTATCTCCTAGGCGTTGATCCTGTTTTCATGGTAAATTAACACATTCAGTGCTTTCCAGGATTTGGACAGTAGCCAGTTACTCAGATAAAGTCAAGAAGATAATGCCTCAGCAAAGGTTCTTCTGCCTTTATTTTGACAAGTGTCTGTGTAATTATTTTGTATGGGAGTTCAACTCCCATTTGACATATTGCGTAGGAGATGGTCAGGGTGTGCAGGGGCTCCAGGAGGCTTGGAACACAAGTTCAGACTGCATCTGGATTAGCGTTCGTCATAAGAAGTCCAGCTGTTGGACATGGAGCTCAAAACCAGCACCATCTTAGCCTGTCCTCCTCCTCCCTGTTACTCTCTGTGGACTGTAACAGCTGTACAAGACCAGGGGGCCACAGCAAATTGTATTTCTTTGTAAACATGCCTAGACAGCTACATTTCCTTAGCAGTTCTACAGAGTTGCACAGAGTCTTTGCTGGGTGGTGAAGAATGGCACGGCAGTTGACATTTCACTCTTTCGGGGATCGCAGGGGAAATCTGCTGGGTGGACATAATGTCACTGAAGCTAAAGCATTTTTTAATTCCCAGTGGTATGTGGCCACTGAGCTGTGAGTTGGGCAGAGAGACTCGCTGGGTTTTTCCTTTATGTTTCCTTTATGCCATAGTTGCTCAGTCTAGACAAGAGGTTTTAGGATTCATTCTTTTCCAGTTTCGGCAGTTGGATTTTATAGGGTCTGTGAGAGGAGCACATGAAAGCTAATTTCATTTCCTTGTGTCTGCTCACTTCTTTAATGTCTGGTGGCAGATATTGCACTGGCTGAAATGAGCTGTTATCTGCTCTCTGCTTTTAGTGATGATACATGAAACAAACAGAAAGCTGCTCAAGTTTTATAACGTGAATTGGAAGTGCTGATAGCCATAACCACAGGAAAAACAAGCAGTCAAAAAGCCAGCATATATCTGGGCAAGTTAAGTACATAAACAGGACATGCAAATCACTAAAGGAATACAGATATGTAGCCAAAGTGTCATTTGGAGACAGACTATCCTTTTACCAGAGGCATATCTGAACCTAGCACAAGGTCTTCTCTTAGCTTACAGCTGTCCCAGAAAACGAAGCTGCACTCTGAAACTGCCAGAGGCTGAGGTACAGAAATGAACAAGCAGGGGATGTCTGAATGCTAAATAAATCAAGAAATGCAGTGCTTCAGCCTTGAATTTCATCAAAAACTCATCAGACAGCAGACTGATTTTACTTCAGCTCTGACTTGCCAGCCACAGAAACAAAGGAGAGAAATCACTCCACCTGACAGGGCGGGGGGGCAGAAAAAGGCCATGCTTCTAGGGGAAGAAGCAAACTAACTTTGCACTGCATTAAACTCCTACTAGGAATAGATGGCTTGAGATGTGTTTAATTGGTATTCTGCAGTCTGGAGAAATGAGGGCTTCTCCGCTCTGTGATGCAGCCAGTAGGTGGTTGTCTGGTTTTCTCTTTATAGTAGAGCATGGTGAAATGTATCATTTTTGGCAAAGCTCAGAGGCGACTTGCTCATGGGTATGTCTGCTGGGCTTCAGATGGATTTTCGCACTGCATCAGCTGTGGAGGAAATGCTGTGCTTTCAAAAGTAACCCATTTGCATCTGTTATTTCTCAGACAGCCCAAGGGAAGCACAGGGGAACTGGGGGAAGGGGTTGGAAATCTGTTTCAGATGCCAAGAATGGGGTTTTTCTTTTCTGTTTGGATTTTTTTTTTTTCTTCTTGAAATTCTGTCTATGGATATGGTTTGTACCATATCGGAGTACAAAAGTGCACCAGTTGAATCTTTTCATTACTGACCAGGCAGAGTATTTATAAAACATCAGATGAAAGCAACCAAGGATAAAACCAACCTAGATATCTTTTAATTTAATCTTAAAATGTATACATCAAAACTCAGCCATGGACAAGAACTTCAGTGGACGTAAATCAGCATAGCTTCATCAAAGTGAATGGAACTGTACAGACTAGAATGGCCTGCATAAGGTTTAAAATATCACTAACTATAGTAACAGCCAGGCACCTTGTACGAAGTAAGATGACACACAGAAAAATGAAATACCTAAGCCATGTTGAAGAATGAAGTGTTCCTTGAAGGTTTTTCGGAAGGTTAAGAGAGAACTTCACCATCTTCCCTAAACTGTAGAAAGCAAAGTGCATTTAGTGATGGGTCAGAAAGTCTAAATAAATTGATGACACAACTATTCAGTAGAACCTGTCCAGAAACCACAAAAATTCTGGCAAGGAGAAAAGGCATCTGCATTAAAGGATAAGAGAGACCAGCACAGGGAAGGATAAGACATCTCAGAGCTGGGCAAAGGAAGAGGCTCGGCTGGATATCTTTTGTCTTCTTTGCACAATTTTTTGTTAGCTTCAAAGTCAGTTTGGATAGCAGGAGAGATTCCCCCACAGCACACCCCCCACCCCCCCCATCACAATTTATGACCCAGTCTGCAGAGAACAGTAGGCTCCTGAAGCGTTCCCTGCCTCAGCTACAGCCTGCCAGGATGCAAAGTCAGTGCAGAGACAGACAGGTCTGGTGACCCAGCACGAGCTGAGCACCTCCTGGGACAGCTGCAGGTCAAAAGGGTATTCAGCAAGTTCCCCTTGAGACAGCATCTTACAACTCTTCCTCCTGTTTTACATGTCTTTGCACCATATTACAAACACTGATGATGGCCCAAAAATTAATCTGAAGATCTAGCTTATATACTATTGTTGCACTGGTTGATGAAGAGTGTCCTAAAAGATAGTGGAGAATATAGGCTTAACAAAAAGTGCAGTCTGAGTTGTTACTGGGTCCCATTCTGTCTCGGGTCTCCTTCTGGCACATCATGCACTTTTTCTCCAATCCATTGTGATCTGCAACGTAAGTGAGCTAACACTTTGAGAATGTCCCTGTTCAGGACAGCGATGAACATAAAAGAGCTATAAGGTTCAAGCTTTGGTGCTTTCCCAAACCGGAGCCACAGGAGGCAGCTGTTTAGGATGGATTGATGTTGTAACATGGCTGTTGTTAAAGTACTGAGCTAATGAGAGACTGGAAGGCAATTGCTTCCACACTGTTAGCTGCATTCATTGGAGTGAGTTTGTGCATTTACCAAGTCAACAGTTCATAACTGTAAGGTAAATTCATCTCTGTCAGTCTCCTTTTGTTTCCTTTATACATTCCCAGTTTTGTGGATTTACAAGACATTTGAAGGGATTTGTTCTGGACTGAAAATTAGAAACTGATTCATCCCTTGTTAATTGCAGATCTACAAATGCAAAGAGAAATTAGGAGTTTAAGGCACAACTTCAAAACTCTGTCACAGCTCAAAACCATAATTTTTAAATTTTTGAAATTTAGGATTTTGGCTGATCATTGCAGATTGTACAGAAATGACATCTTGCAGCTTCTGTGTTCAGACTGCACTCA